TGCATCTTTACTGTACTTCTACACCCAAAATATACAGTAACTGAGAACTTAAATCTATGTGAAATTATGTACAATTTTCTAAACTTAGTGAATTGAGAAAATTGTAATTTAAAGCTCAATACGTGATACTTTTTAGGACAACATTATAATCCATCTCAATATGATAATCATGAAATCAGTGTTATAAGTGTAACAGTAGACCCAATCTTCAGTTACACGGAAGAGTTAATGAGAATCTCCACTGTGGGCATAAGTAAATAAATAATATACAAAGCACCATGCTCATTAGCTCTGATCCAATAACTGTATTCAGACATGATCTGATGGTTACATACTAATTGTTTACTGTATCATAACAAAAACATGTCTTTAGGTGGCTCCATTCACACTTCCCCATTCTGTTCTCCGAAGCAGCCACAGGGAAAAACTTAGAAACTTAGAAACGTTATTAATGGCAGCTTATTGTTTTCTCTAAACCAGACAAGTGGGGGGTTATCTTAACCATGGCTTAAACCAAGCAATTTTAAAACATGGACTATGGTGTTTGCTTGCTTTAATAAATCAGTTAAGATAAATTCTAGTTTATAGTACATTGATCAACTAATTCCAATAGAATATAGAACAGAATGGTCCTAATTGCGGATTTGTGGTAACACCATAAGAAGAGGTGGGCGAGGAAGCATGAAAATCTGAGGCTTGTTTTTGACATGGTCATCTTAACTTCTGAATGCTCCTACAGATGCAGGGATTTTCATATGGCGTCAGTCAACAGCTTCCAGTAAAACTGATGTTACTTTTTTTTTTCCATGCTCCCCTAAATCTGTCCCCAAGGTCTCTTTGGGACGCATCTGTTCATCACTCTTATTGCCGTGTCCTGAGCCTCACACAGTTCCCTATAAAGAACTGGACCTTGTTTCATCTGGGAAAGCATATATACCAACCCTCTGCAAGCTGTAAGAAGGGCGAAAATAAACATCACTTTCAACTACTGTTGCCCCAAAAAAATGGCATATAGAGGATACTGAAAACAAGGATTCCACCTCCTTCTCTTAGGAGTGTCATTTAGAGTCCCTCAATTAGAAGGCAGTTCAGCCCAGTCAGCTAAAACAACCATGCAGAATTAATGAAGTCAAAATAATAGGGAAAAGGGAAAAGAACGCTCTGCAAAAATGAGTCAAGTACAGCAAATCAATACTTCATAATGTTGCCTGTCCTGTTACTGAACTCAACTGACTTCATCTGCTTCCAGATAAATGCTGCTCAGTTCTGCACTCTGTAATAATAATTACAGCAATATACAAATGTTTTTTCGTGGACCTTCCGTGACGGCAAAAGAGTTCCAGTCAAGATTAGATCTCAGTACTGGCTATTCCTGCTCAAGGGCAAATGGAATTAATGTCATATCCACTGTTTGGCCCACAGTCGAAATGCTCCTTTTGAGCCCTTTCCATCTACTCAGATATTTGGGCTAACAAACAATTGCTATAGTAGAATGCATTTTTAACTTAATTTAGAAGTCAACACACATACAGCAGTGAAGGTCAGGCTATTCCTAGGCAACTTTTAACTTCCTAAAAACCCAAGCTGTGGCAAATAACTAAGCCCTGCTATCCTGGCATCCTAGGAAGGGCTTTCTAGGAAAAGATATTGAGAAGACAGTCTTGTGGCGATTTCAGAGGGCCCTGGAGGAAACAGCTTCATAGACAATTAATCTAGGTATGGCATAGGGCCTGGATGTCTGAGCGACTACCTGTCTGTGGCCACTCAGCTCATTCCATCAGAGTGGGTGCACTCCAAGTTCTATTTAACAATTGTGGCACCAAGAAAGCATGCCTTCTCTGTCATAGCCCCACCTCTAGAACAGAATCCTTCCCCAATATAGGGATAGTACCTTCTCTCCTGGGGTTCCAGGAAGCTCTTAAGCCTCAGGTTAATCCATTTTTGAGGCCCCTGTGGTTTCTTGTTGTGTTACGTTTCTTTTAGTCTGGACTGTTTGTGTTACATTTCAGTTGTGTTGTTTCAATTGGGTTTGCTGAGGTTTTTTGGGTTTTATATGCCACCCAGAGCCTCTTAGAGTTGGGCGGCTACTACAAATTTAAATAAATAATAGTAGACCCTTTTCAGTCTGGCTTCAGACCAGGACACAGTACTGAGATAGCACTAATTGTGCTGGCTGATAAGCTCTTGGAAAGTCAAGATAGGATTGCAGCAGCCATCTTGGCTCTTCTTGATCCATTAGCAGCTTTCATTACTAATGATTCTGGGTTGCCTACAGCAGGGGTGTCAAACTGCCGGCCCGCGGGCCAGACGCATCGCAATGAAACCGCGCTCACTCCATTGCCGGCAATGGGGAAAAAGCTCCGATATGTTGCACGATGTCACATGACATCATGAGTTTGGCATGTCTGGCCTAAAGGAATTAAGAGGAGGAAGGCACCGCATTGGGCTGTTCTCTTCTTTTTTCAGTAGTCTGAGTCACTGCTGATAGGTGGGAAAGACTGAACCCAGAGCTTTTGCCTCTCCTGTTTAACCTCTACATGATGTGCTGATGCTGGGCCAGGTCATAATTACTTTGTGGTCATAGTATTATCACTATGCTGATTACATCCAGTTGTGGAACCTTGTCTGACCAAGCAAATCAAGTCAAGGCCTTGACCCAGAGCCTGAAGGCTGCAGGGGTGTGGATGCAGAGAAAAGACTCAGGCTAGGCCTTAACAAGCCCAGGTAGCTATGGGTATTTGGATCACTCAGTCCAAGATATTTTCTACCTTTAGTCTTGAATGGGGTTGTAATACTCCTGTGGTCAGGAAAATCTTTGCATACATTCATTGTATGCCGCTTGAACCCATTCCTGGACCTTTGGGCAACCATTTACACCTTAGTTACCTCATGTGTAGACTATTGCATTGCTTTCTATATGGGGCTGCCTTTGAAGATCATTCAGAAGGTGCAACTACTCAAAAAATGGCAGCATGGGCAATTATTATTGCAACTCCTGAATAGAATTTTTGGATACAATTCAAAGTGCTAATAATCACCTATAAAGCCTTTCTTAGAATGGGGCGTAGCTATCTGAGGAATCGTTTCTGTTTGTCCTGTAAGGTTTGATTGGCACTCTTTGAATCCCACTGATTAAACAATACCATCTGAAAAGAGCCAGGAAGAAGATATTTTTTTTGTCACAATGGCTGTCCTCTGGAACAGCACTTCCCCAGGGATCTGTATGGGCTATTCCTTCATGGAAATGGGCTTAAAAAACCTAGATCTTCCCCCAAGTCTTGGACTCAGGCTATTGTGAGCTTCTTGTGGGAATTTTTTGTATTCAGGTTCTCCCTCAGTGTCTACTGATTTTTTTTCTATAAGCTATATTGTTTTGAGCTGTCTTTAATACTGAAGTCCACCAGAATTGTTATGGGCAATCTTAGAAATCTGATAAATAAATAAATAAATAAATTTACCTTATATTAGCTATCCAAACTCATATTCCCCTGACTTTTCTGAAAGCTATTCATTCATTTTGCATTTCTCTCTCAATGTATGGCTCTATACTTCTTTGTAAGATCTCAAGAAAAACATTTGTAAGAAATTAGCAAAATGTTTTGGTAATTTGCACGTTATTCTGCATCTTCCTTCTTTGATCTACTCATATACAGGGATCTTTTCCAGTTTCTTTTGTGACTTGTCTGTAATATTCCTGATGAAGTTATACATTTTTCTCATGTAAAAGAATTTGCATTTTTTTTTTAAAGACAGCCATTTAAGGAGCTTGCTTGGTAAGTACAGTATTTTGTTTCATGCAAATAGTGTAGAAAGTATTGTTTTGGCATGCTAACTAAAGTCATTCATGGAAAGAAAGAGATACATCCTGACCTAAAAGGGAAAAATTCGCATGCCCTTTCCATATACCTTCCTTTAACCTGCTGATATTTTGCCATACTCCATCACGACTGTTGTTCTTTCAAGCCATTTTCAGCTTCTATCTGACAAAAATTTATGGGCATTAGTTTACATATTTGAATCCTCCCTCACTTTAATTGCTGCTGTGTGTTCTACACATGTGCAAAGGACAAAAATAAAAGTGAATTGCTGCTTAGGTTTGAATAATCTCTGAAAGAGGATAGCAGCTCTCCGATCCAGTTGTGGGAAAGAGATAATACTGTGCAGAATGTTGGAAAGCTTCATCTACATATAAATAGACTTAATCAGAAATGCAAATAGCAATTGGGAGAAATGGTAAAAAGCCCCATGATAATTGTGTGATTGTACAGATAAGAAAAGGTCAAATATTCCCATTGTCTAAGGTTTTAATTTTCTAATTGCCCGTGGGCATCTTTTCTTCTGAAAGCGGAATACAAAGTGACAGACTATACCAACTGACAATCAGTTCAAAGCAAATGCTTCAGAAAGGCTATTTGTTATAAAAGTCCAGCAATTAATTCATACTTCACAATTGTAATGCCCGTCTTTTGCTTCCTGCTAGGAGAAGCAGACTAAAAAAATCTTATGGAAGAAAGTGTAGGTTCCTTGTAGTTTCAAGTATGCTTAGAAAATAATATCTTATTTTCTGCATGAAAATAAAAGAAACAAGATAGAAACAATAGATGCTGCTGATCCGGCATACTTAACAGTTTCTATTTGAACCATTCAAACATTCTTCTTTCAGAAAATAGCCCATTAAAACATTGTGTTTTTAGAGAATAATCTGCCCTTGTTGGGAAACAAATTATTTTTGAAATGGAAAGTGGTTTACAAAAGCTAAATAAGCAAATCATTTTTTTTAAAAAAATAACACCTCAATAGTTAAAATCCGAATATTCTTTTTCTAAAAAATCTCACTGTTTATAGGCAGACCTCCTCCACAGCAGCATTCATTTCCACATATCTTTCAATTAACGTAATGTAAAATGTAATGATGCACCAAATAGGTATTTTCACTGTTGAATTGCTGTTGTCAGCCTAAGCAAGATCCAGTAAGCTAAGAGAGCCACCTAGTGCCCTACCTTGGGATCTTAAAAAGGGTCTTCACAGGATGCATGTCAAACAAAGGTGGATCTCCATCACCAAATTCAATAGCCGTGATCCCAAGAGACCACACATCACAACGGGCATCATAAGAATAGTCATATTGTTGTTCACAAGCAATGACCTGTTAGATAAAAGACAATGAACACACCACATTAACCTTTGAAACAGTAATGTCCCCATTAAGTACAAATTATACACATACCAGTGTCCATTCATATATTTCTTATTATAGTTACAATTTAAATGCTCAACTAGCAGCCCTACTATTCAATATTATCCACAGAATGCGGTTCAGAGAATTAAATTCATGATGCTGAACATTACAAGAAATTATAGCAATTGAAAAAAGTTCTGTAGTTATTCATTACATTTCCATTTTAACAGGCATTATCTTCTATCCCTATTACTTACATGTATGTAAAGGATAAGGAAAGTGTAGCTTTTCTATAAGTATTTATTATTGATCTATACCAAAAATGTGAGATCACAGGTGCCAGTTCTTTAGCTGATGTTTAGCTGGAGTACTATTATTATTATTTTGAATGTATTAACATCCTAGCTTCAGTAAACTCTTATAATAATTGATCACCAACAAAACAACAAAAAGACGTGGTATCTTGAAGACAAACACATTTATTATGATGTAAACTTTTGTGAATCATACTTCATTTCAGCACTGCTATGGAGAATTAAGCTAAGAAAAATATATCCATGCTCATAATTGAGAAGGCAAAATAGCATATAGCCCTTATTTTTATATTTTGGCTCTTCTTTCTAATATCACTGAAGTTATTTCAAGAAGTCACAGTACAGATGGAACTCACTTAGAGAGTGTTAAGCTGGAATGTCCTGGAAGAAATGACCTTTGTAACTATGGATGTACAGTAGATAGGCAATAAAGTTTTAGTTCTCCCACATGATGTTCTCTGTCAAAAAGGGCACATGGTACAGCATAAAATTGTGGTTTCCAATTCAACATTAGCAAGTGGGATTTACAGTAAAACCAAATCCTGCTCCAGCCACTGAGACTTCCTCTTCTTCAGACTATCCCATTATATAGCCCTCCTGTGGTTTCCCACATTTTCTCCCAATAGTCACGCTTCATTTTCTGCCTATAGAGAATGCTATTTCAGGGTTTTCCCCATCCATAAATAAATTATTAAGTTAAATGTAGATCTATAAATTTCAAGATTCTTCTTGATATTTCCTTCTTATGAGTTGGGGAAACATTTTCTATTACATAAATCTAATTTATAGACAGAAACGCCAGTTCACTAGTAGCATGTATGACAGATAAGCACAATGAGAACAATCTATAAGAAAGAGAAAGTGGACAGCAAATCTAATTAATCAAGCCATAAATAAATTAATATATGCACAGTTTACAAGACTTCCTCTTTTGGGAGGAAAAAAGGGGGGAAATGGCTAAGTCAGCACTTTGAATTGAAGAGCTGTCTAAACAAACACTCCACAACTTTAGAAAAGGCAATTGTTAATACAGCAGTTATCATCCTGGACACGCCTCAGGAGGAAATAAATAAATAAATGGAGACGTACATAGAGAGAAAATGCTTCCTAAGACTCAGGAGTGGTTGAGATGGGTCTGCTAAGTTGAAAAGTGGGACTACTTAAGCTTCAAAAGAACCTAGAGGGGGTTTTGTTGTTGTTAAGAAATTATACAAAATGACAAGTCACCATTCAGACCAACCTTGCCCAACTTTATGCCTTCAATGAATAGTAGGATTATAACTCTTAGGGCCTTTCTCCACTGTTATCTTGAAAGACTTTCCACCCAACTTTGACCTGAACAGAAATCTCCATCAGTATGACATTTGTTACCCCCATAGCCACTCTCTATTTTACCTCCACTGCTTATGGTACAGGTCTTTGCAGCCATGTATGGCAAGGCAAGGCCAGGCCAGGCCAGGCCAGGCCAGGCCAGGGCCAGGGCCAGGGCCAGGGCCAGGGCCAGGGCCAGGGCCAGGGCCAGGCCCGGCCAAGGCCAAGGCCAAGGCCAAGGCCAAGGCCAAGGCAAGGCAAGGCAAGGCAAGGCAAGGCAAGGCAAGGCAAGGCAAGGCAAGGCAAGGCAAGGCAAGGCAAGATAAGCGATGAAGCTGGACAAATGTTATACTCCTTTCGACTGCCTTTGGATGGCTTTTGAATAAGGGAGGAAATGCTAATTTTAGCACTGGCACATTCTAAAGACAACCTGTCTTCCTCTGATCTGGGATGAGAAAAAGGCAGTGATGCGGATTTGGCATTGAAAATATGTTCTTGGGGCCATGGTTTTTATTTATTTTCTACACATCTTAACTCTCAGAGGTGATTAGATGGGTAGAGGTAAATGGGGGAAGGGCCTCACAATTCTGCTTAGGAAAAGCTGGTTTACCTTTACAACAATTTTAATAATCCTAATTTATTAAAACTCTCTACTCGTTACAGGAATCAACATTTTACTTTTCAACACCACTTTCAGTAACGTAATATCAAAAAGTCATATAATATCGATGCGCGTATGTATACATCTTATAGTACAGTCATGGCAATGGAAATAAGGCTTACATGGACTGATGGTTAATGATGAGAGAGAATTGGAAATTAGCATATAGATTGATACAAAAACAAGAAGAGCCTGGTGCCAGACGGCCCATAATGGAGAGGTATAAGTACTTTGCATGGTCCGAATCTCAAGGAGAATAGTTCCAAAGTGCAGACAGCACGCAATGGCACAAATGATCCTTCAAACATTTTGCAGTGCATCAAATCATAAAGATGTGGATTGGGCTCTAGAAGGCAAAGAATATACATCCCACATTCTGTAGACCTACAGATATCAAAGATGGAAGGCTATGATTGGGGAGCAGGAGGGTTTTTTTTCTATGTCAGCCAGTTAACTGGAAGGAAGCTGGGGGTGTAAAGAGCTATCTATGCATTCTGAGGGAAAGATTTCCGCCTTCATGAGGTTAATAGCCAAGTAGCTGATGAGATATGGCAGCTTAAAGGAAAAAATGAATTGACATACATTATAATGTGCAGTGTATATTACGGAGAAAAATCAATCAATTCTGACAATATGAAATTCTTATACTCACCCTAAGAAAAGCAGCACAGCTAGCCAAAGTAACTAGATACAATGCTTTGTCAAAAACTTTTGGTTTCCATCAATTTAATTTCATTTACTCATAGCACCTAGGGAGTATTCTATATGTTTTCTCAACCATAGTGGGCAAAAATGGAAGCTATTAATAAAAGTTCTAAAAAAAGACGGTTGACCTGCTAATAAAACTATCTTCATATTTCTAGTTTGTATGAATTCCAGGGGGCTGTAGAACAACGCTCTCCAAACTTTCCGTCTTTGTGGATGAGCGGGGGGGGGGGAGAGGGGATGGTTCTGGGTGAGTGGCTGGTGAGCGCATATAGCTCCATTTGCACAAGCAGCAGGCATGCGTGCCTGCCCTTGCACCAAGTGTAGCTGAACACACATGCGCACTCACCCACCCGCTGCACATGCAAATGTAGTTGCACGTACATGCGCACTTACCCACCAATTCCGTGCCCCAGTTCTGAATAGGCTGTGGCCCAGGAGTGAGCTGTGGCCCAGGGATTGGGGACCCCTGCTGTAGAACTTATTTGAGTGACTGAAGAGGTGCTGTCTTTTGCTTTCCTATAAAAATTCCAGGATGCTTGACATTAAATTTAATATTAAAAGTTGGAGAGAAACTGCAATGAGCTTTCTGTTTTCAAACTGTAATTAGAAATAAATGGTTTTTAATATAGGAAGTAAACAGGGGATGGGGGGAAATCACCAAAAGCTGTCTATCCTGGGCTGATCTGAAAATGATATGCAGGATCAAATCTGGTACTTAAATTAGAGATCACCAGGAAACCTGTAGGCTAGACCGAGAAATTGAAAAAAGATCCAAAAGAAGCCAATGACAAAGAAGATATTTACCATTACAACCCTGACATAACAGTGCATTGGTTGAGGATTAATTCTTAATCCTCAATTAATGTCTTAATTCTTATCTTTGTCCAACACTGAAACACCATTTTATATAGTTTCACTGTGTGTGACAATTTTCAGATACTAAAATTATTACACCACCCCAGTTCTAATAGAAAAATATAAGAATTATAACCTTGGACTAAATACAGGAAATTTCCTTAAATTTGTCGGTCATTTCTAAATAGAAAAGTCAATTACTATTGATATGTAAATTGCTTGTTTGTGTTTAATGTTTGAAGTTTAGAGCAGCGTTTCTTAAAACTGGCAAATTTTAAGATATAGGAACTTATATGTGGAGTTACATGGCTGGCTGGGAAATTCTGGGAGTTGAAGTCCCCACATCTTAAAGTTAGCAAGTTTGAGAAACACTGGTTTAGAGCAGTATTTTTGTGGGCAATATTTAATTATTGTGAGAGGCATAAAAGTCAGAAGAAGGTAGTGGAGGATGAATATTAAAAACAAAAACAAAGTAATAAATATACTTGCTGCCTAGTGTAAAAGTAGTACCAGAGTACCAGGCAGACAGTTCTGGGGCAGACTCAGTAGAATATGTAGTCGTGAGGCCCTGGGAATCAAACCCAAAAGGCTGATTAGGAGTTTCAGAATCAAGCAGTACTGGTTTTGAAATGAATGAGAGGGAGAATGCATAACTGGAAACTATAATGGCTGTTTAATTGCAGCGAGGTCTCAGTTCATGTATTCCAAAACTCCACTTCCAAACTGAATCCGAAACATTGCACAGCCATCAGCAGGCACTGCAAAGTAGTTCTTTCTGAAATGCCACTTGTTCCATAGACAAGGCCAACTCTGGCAGACAAAACTGAAGGTTCCTCATGCAGAAATGAAAAAAAAAATCAAGTGGAAGAACTTAAATTGGTTAGGGAGTGGAGGATAAGCTGACCCTGTGCAAAAGAAAGGATTTACTTGAAGCAAAACAGGGCTAGACTCCTAGCACTCAACAAAAGGGGCAGAGCATATGTTAATTTGATTATTTACAATTTATTAAACAAATACCTACACTACATTCCATCAAAACAGGTTAGCAGCCAAACAAGCTTATATGTCAGATCCTTGCCTGAATATATTGTCTGTCTGCTGGCAGAAGAATAACATAG